TCCTTCCTTCCTTCCCTCCCTCCCTCCCTCCCTTCTTCCCGCCGCCACCGAAGGGAGGAGGGAAAGGCCTCCAGGGTCACCTTCCCGTCCCTGCTGCAGGGAAGGGCAGCGTGAGAGCTGGAGCTCCTGGGAAGCTCCTTGGCCAGACCCGCCTTTGCGCCAGGCCGCCTGGCAATGTCACACCGAGCTTCTGTGTGCGGGTGGGGTTGTTTTCCCCCCAGCGTGTGTCACTGTGCTTGGCTTCTGCCTGTAGAGACAAGTACCGCTACTTCGCTGTCCTCCTGAGGGACCGGTTTGATAAGAACAAGGATGTGAAGGATATGGCGAGAGCCACGGAGCTGCTGAGGGCAGGCGAGGAGGAGTTCTGGGCATATCAGCACCCTCAGCCCTACTTCTTCCCTGACTCCCCTGGGGGCACTGCCTACGAGAGATACGAGTGCTACAAGGTGAGGTGGCCTGCAAGGTTGTCTGTTACTGTGCTTACCTTATTCTTAGTAAATGGAAGGTTTTAAAAGTAAGTTTTCACAGGGCTGCAGATTGACCTTGAGCCTTGGCAATAATACAGAGAATAGTGAGAGACGATCCAGACAGGAGAAAGGCCAGTTGAGCAGTTAAGTGGTCAAGATTAGTCTTCATATGGAAATATAAATTGATTTAGGTTCTCTTTTATTTGCTCTGTTTGACCTGCTAAAACTGTTCTTCAACAAAACGACTGTCACAGCATTTTGGCTTGTTGATATATCAGTAATTGTCCATCGTGGATGCTGCTACAAAATGTAGGGTTTTTTTTATCTCAGCCTGTTTGGAGGTTTTAATTGATGTGGATTTTTAACAATTTTCTTAACAGCTCTGCTGTTTCTGTTTAAGTAAAGCCAAAGGTTTACTTAGTCGTAAGAATGACAACAGGAAACTGGAAGTGTAAATGTCATTGCATGAATGATGGTTTTGGAACATCTTAATTTTCTTTTTTAAGAAGTGTTACTTGAGGGGAGAGGCTTTTGTTGTTGTTTTGTTTGTTTATTTTTTAAATCAATGTTCCTGTTTTTAAAATGTTCACTTTCTGTGATATGCTGCTGTACAATTTTTACTTTTGCTTTTTTTCTTGACTGACCTTGATCTTAGGGGTCAGACCATGATCAAGATCTTAAAGGCTACTTAATTTTTCCTTAGTTGTAGACAAGTAGAATGAGCTGTCGCCTTCTCTCTTTGTCAAAGAAGATGCATCAGTAGTTGCAGAAAAGGCTCTCTGTGACCTGCTTTCTTTGGGAGGAGATTAAATTATTTCATGAGTGAACTGAGATCACCTGGGACTTATCTTTATGAGTTGCTGTGGTTGGAGCAAGTCACTGTGAGGCCTTTACATGACTTAGGATAGTGTTTGAAACCAAGATTAGAAGCAGGTAGCTGATGGTGGTTTTATGTAGTAATTTATTTCTAGGTTCTTTATCATAGAATGGTTTGGGTTGGAAGGGACCTTAAAGATCATCAGGTGCCAACCCCCCTGCCATGAGCAGGGACACTTCCCACTAGGCCAGGTTCCTCAGATTTTCCAGCCTAATGCTGGCTTCAGTGACTGCATTCAGTTCTTTTGTATGTGTGCGCTGTAAATGTTTTCATATATTAATAAAAACCCTGAATCTATGTAAAATATATTTAACAGATTCCTGAGTGGTGCTTGGATTTCTGGCATCCCTCTGAGAAGGCCATGTACCCTGATTACTTTGCCAAGCGGGAGCAATGGAAGAAAATGCAGCGGGAAAGCTGGGCTCAAGAGGTGAGTGCTTGCTCAGTGCCAAGTAAAGCCCCTTCAGCACACAAGTGGTTTGGGTGACATTCAGGTATGTTCTTGGAAGAGATCTGAACACCAGCTGTGCTCTCATTTAGACTCTGTTTTATTGGAACTATTGTCAGTTTGGGACAGTTGACCTAAAATGCCTACATGGAGATCTGAGTTGCAGCTTCTGAAGGGCTGTGAGGGGAATTTGATGTTAAAGCTGAACCTGTGACTGTTCAGTTAGTGCAGGGCTGTTGTGACAGCTTTGCTGAAGGACATTCCAAAGTGGGATGAGAAGAGATTGACTAAAGAATTCCTGTTCTACTGGTGTGAAGTTTTGACACTTTCTGGTTGCACCTCTGGAAGTGATGGACCAGCATTCATCAGTTGGGAACCAAGACTGATTTCTGGCCAACCTAAATTGAGATTCAGTTGGAAAAAGTTGTTGTTCTTAGAATAGGTTTCAATTCAGTTGTAGATAAATAGTTGGATTGTGTGTAGTATGGCACTCTGACCAGCACTGGCGCACTGGCAGCCAGCACTTTGCTGCTGCTTCAAGAAACGTGTTGAGAACATCTGGAGGGCTTTTGGTGGCATGCAGGGAGGGCTGGAGTGGCAGTTGTTCAGGGCTTGTGATGGTGTGACAGCTTTCAAAGCAGCAAGGGAATGCAGCCTGTGTAGCATAGCAATGGCAGACATTAATCATGTGGAAGTAGTTACCTTTTAAAGTAACATTTCTGATGTAAACCACTTTTACTCCTAAGAAAAATCCTTCTTAATTGGGTAATATGAGCCTGCAGTGATTACTGAGTTTAAGGGAATATGGAGAAACATGGAACCTGTCTGTCACCCTGAAGGGGTTACTGCTGGTTGTTCTCTTCTGGAATGGGGGCCAGTTTTACTTACCAACTGGGCACTGAAAGCCACATTACTGGAACATGCATGTATGTACTAAAACAATTTTATGTCTTGTTTTCTAGCTGAAGCAGTTAGAAGAAGAAACTCCAGTTGATGGCCCAAAAACTGAAGCTTTGCCCCCAGCTCGGAAGCAAGGGCAGCTGCCTCCTCTCTGGTGGCAGTATGTCACCAGGCCTAGGGAGATCCCCATGTAAAGCCTTGTTTCATGGGAGAGCTGGAGTGGCCTGTCCTCTGTAGGCAGTAGATGTGTCAGTGGCTGCATGCTACTCTGAGAAATACAAAATAAAGCCAAATAAAGTATAACTGAGAGCATCTTTCTGGCAGTGTTCTTTGCAGCGTAGAGCACTGACTGCTGACACCTGCGCTACACGCCTCAGGGATCAGACAGTGCTGACCAGGCTGTCAAGTCTTGATGGGATCCCAGTTCCAGAGCAAGTTTTACAAAAGCTGTCACAAGCTGATGCCAGGGGGGCTACCAGGATGCTTCTGTGACGCCCCTCCAGTGTAGAGGGCTTTGTGAATGAACCTGAGGGGGACACACATGGTGCTCGCCTCTCAGAGAAACAGCTGCTGTGGGACCCTGGTTTAGAGTGTTAGAATATCCCTCCTCACCATGCTCAGAAATTGTTACTGAGACCAATGTTCCATTTATGAATCAACCGGTTTATTAAGGGTTAGCACAAACTGGGGGACCAAGACTCAGGAGAGGTAGAAAATAATTCAAAGGTACTATGGTCTTATTAAATGTCCACTTCGAGAGAGAGGTGTGAAATCAATGGAGTAAAAGGGTAGGAGCTGAGCCCGGCAGGAAAGAGAGTGTGTCTGTGTGTGCCTTACCCTTTTGCAGCGTGTGGTTCCTGGCAGGGCTCAGCAGCAGGTCCACAGGAGCCGGCTTCCTGGGAACAGGGGTGACTCCCCAGCAGCAGCAGCAGACGTGGCTCCAAGGGCTCTGTTTTGGCTCCGGTGCTCAGCTCGGGCAGCTCCAGCTGGGCAGGTTCCGGCCGGGCAGGCCTGCCTGCAGCAGGGTCTCCTCCCGGGCAGGCAGAGACCACTGGCCTGCAGAACTTGCTCTCTTTTATAGATCAGAAGTCGCTGATCGAGTAAAATACCACTGTTCAAATTTGCCAGTTAGCACTGGCCAGGTACATACTCTGTCAGAAGCATCTTTAACCTTTTGTCTGTTCTTTCTGCCAGTTATCATAACCTTTATGCTCTTTTCTTGCTATGGACTTACCTGGCAGAGCAAGGGGCCTGTTCCAGTCTGTCCTTGGCTAAATCAGCAAAACGACACTGCTCTTGTTTTGCTGTCTTGAAAGGCATTTTTAGTCTTATCTGGGGGGAGAGAAGATGGACAGTTCACCACAGAGGTGAACACAAGTTGCAGCTTCCATGGTAAGAGTGACACAAGGCAACTATGAGACCAAAGCAATCGGCCACATAAAACTTACGTTCCCAGAGCAAGAATGTGAGCTCAAAGGGGAGAATAGATGAGGTATAGGCTTGACATTAAGAGAAAATAGCAAAAGCATTAATTCCAGCTGTTCTAAGGACTAAACCTATTCTGCTTGGATATAAGAAAAGGCTTTAATCTGGCTGTTTTGTCAGAAGTCTTATGTGGCCCTCCTCAGTAAGCCCTGCACACTAAAATAAGCCTGAATTTGGGGGGGGCAGAAAAAGACTTCACACCTTCCACTGCTGAAAGTTTCAGTTTTGCCAGGCAGCTGGGTCTGTTCTCTGCCTGTGTTAGAGCCATGGCAGTGGGTGACCTGAAGAGGACCCTTTTCCTGCAGGGCTGTTGAGCATCCCCCTCACCTCAGCCTGTCTCCCTGCTCAGCAGGGAGCTGTGGCTTCTCCACTCAGGTGTGGCTGCTGTTCCCTGCTGGTTTTCCATACTGAAGGTACTTGTTCATAGAGTTCTATTTCCAACCTGTTGCAGCTTTGTCATACAGGGTCTGCTCTACCAGCTTTACCTCCCTACGTGACAAGCACTTACTTGCTTGAGCAGCTGCCAACATTAGCAGGAATATAAAAGGCTCAATTCAATTGTGGGGAGAATTCACAAGGAACTACACCCTCACAGGGCAAACCCTGCTCCCCTGTCCTGCCCCTGAGCCCATGTTGCCTCCCCCAGAGCTGGCACAAGCAGCCCCCCAACTCAGGGCTGGGGCTGACCCTGGGGGAGCACTGGTGCTGTTGGCAGGCTGGTGCCAGAGAGCTCCACAGCACTGCGGGGTACAGCCCATCAGAGCAGCCAGGGAGGCTGCACCAGTGGCTTAACATCTGTGCAGGCAAATGTAAGGAACTGTGTCCTGGGCTGCATCAGAGGCATGGCCAGCAAGTCATGGAGGTGATTCCCTCCCTCTTTTGCAACCCCACCTGGAGTACTGTGTCTATTTCTGGACCCCCCAACACAGGAAGGACATGGAACTGTTGGAGTGAGTCCAGAGAAGGGCCACAAAGATGATCAGAGGGCTGGAGCACCTCTCCTGTGAAGACAGGCTAAGAGAGTTGGGGTTGTTCAGGCTGGAGAAGAGAAGACCAGGAAAGCAGGCAAGGAACTTTTTACAAGGTAATATAGGATAGGATGAGAGATTATTTTAAGCTGAAAAAGGATGGATTTAGGTTAGTTATGAGGAAGAAATTATTTCCTGTGAGGATGGAGAGACACTGGAACAGGTTGCCCAGGGAAGCTGTGATTTTATTTAGTGATTTTTTTTTTCTTAAATTCTCTCCTGCTTCTGCTACATGCAGCTGAAACCTGCAGGATCTTCAGAAGTCTGCTGAAGGACACCATTGACACCCAGAGCTGTGGAAGCAGACAGTCTTTAAGAACTGAAATACAGAAGTTTTCCAGCAGTTCTTTATTTATAATGTAGGCTTAAGCAGTCATTACAATGTAGAAGGGAGACACACTTACAGCAATTATTTATACCAGTTTAGAACAAAAAACTGCACAGGGAGAGGTCAACTCTCAGTACAAACTAGCAACTAAATCACAATAATTTACCATTAGAAACATTTTATTTTTTAGCTGTGACACTGCTTTTACAATATGCAAAAACACAAACAGTAGAACTATCCAAAGTGTTTTGTCACATTCTTTCTACATTGAATTTGGCAACATTTTATATTAAATTTTACTGATTATACTAACGTTTAAGAACTAAACAAGTGAAAAGCTGTACTCAGGTACAGTTACATCCATGTATTTCAAAGGTTTAAATAACACTTTTAACTACTGAGATTATCTCCTAGCAGTTTTTGTTTATGCAAAAACCATCTCAAAGCCTCATTTGCACAATGCATCAGCTACTCTATCAAGATTGGTGGGCTACACCACAGGCACTACTGTTTATTATATTCTGTAATAAGGAGCTTGTTTTTCAAAGAAAGGAAGGTTTAATATTTTCTAAGAATCATGCCTTTTTTTTTTTTTCTTTTTCTTTTTGCTTTTAAGCCATAACAAAAAAAAAGTTAGCAACCACAGCAGTGTAAAATGTTATATAGAACACAGTGACTACACAGTTACTAGAGGTTTCACATCCAATGCAGTGATGTATTAAAGCATAAGAGGTTATGTAGGCAAGTCTAGAGCCAACAGAAATCTGCAGAGTGTGTGGTGGAAACTAGCCCCCTATATGGATTATTTGGTGGATTTTTCAACAATCCTGGATGCTCAAGCCTGGTGTCCATCCACATGTGGGTCTGCTGTGGGTGGGCAGATGGCACCCTTCTGGACTGTCTGATCAGAACACGTGTCGTGCCCTGGGGTCTGCATATTTCTATCAGCTTCAGGAGATGGGTATTGCAGCAATAACTTACTTTTACTTGAACGAAAAAATCCAACTCTTAATAATTCTATCAATAGCGTTCCAAAAAACATGATGTAAAGTACAAAAAAAGGGAATATAGTGGTCAGACTCCTGGTATTATCAAAAAAACAGTATCTCTCCCCACCCCCACCCTTCACCCCTTTCTTTTCAGTAATTAAGAAAAGCCAATCAACTGCCATTTAAAAGAAGTTAAGAAAAACAAGCCCCTGTATTGGAAAGAAACATTTGCAGTTTGTTAGATCACAAGGTGGTTACACCTGTCAAATTGTTAAGCGTTTTCTCAAAAAAATTTGGGCTTTCCAAGGTGCCCAGCCTGCTGGGCACAGTCAGAAAAAAAGGCATTTTGATAATATCTAAGAACTCCCTGCTTGCATTTTAAAAGTGTTTTCACATTTGTCACTGCCTTAAGCCTGTCGTCCTTGTTTGTATTCAGTGAAAGGATGTGCAGAACAAAAAGTGGAGGTGGAAGGACCAAGCCTACACGGTGAAGGCTGCATGCATGTGACTGAGAGTTGCTGCTGTGCAGTCAAAAAAGAAACGCGGAATAAAACCCAGTCTTTAAAACACCCTACAGAAACAAAACACTGCAATCCAATATGGCTTATTCTGATGCATTTACCATGAAGCTACTAGTAATTAATCCTACTAGGCTACTTTTGTGCAACAGCATCTGCTATTTCGATGGCATCTCCCTCCCCCCACTACTCCCCAAATACTCTACCAACTGCAGGTTTCTTCCTTGCATTATGTATTGCTTTTATTGTCAATTTTTATTCCTGCTTTTCAACCTTTTTTTTTAATTCTTAAATGAGGTTCTGTTCCTTACAGCTTGACTTAAAATTTAAAATAAGTCCCATTGTTTTGTTTTTTAACCTCACTATTACAAGGCGCTCTACAAAAGCTTGCAAAAAAGCCAAATTTTCATTAAATCCCTTTGCTGAAGTTAACTACTCAACTGTTTGCTTTTTCTCCTATGATTTAAAACTTTACAAAGAGAGCTATAAAAAAGGTAAATGGGTTTTGGCACCTTCAGAAAAAATTAAAAGTGTAACTCAGATCAAAAAAAATGCAGAAACAAAATCGTTGATATTTACAAATTAAAACACCAGCAAAGATTATGTCTTACTATGCTCTTTTTCACCTTGTTTTGTCTTCTAGAGTACTTTCAGACTGTCTTGTTACCGAGTAGCTTAAAAAATTCATTGATTACAGATTGGAATGGATAGAGACCAATTAGGTTCCTCACAGTCCCTCCTCGGTGGCTGGTACTCTGGCAGCTTTTCTACTCCTAGGAAATACGAGGTGCTGAGCGGTCATTCGTGGTTGTCTTCTTCAGTTTGACACCCCGCCGGATGGCGTTCAGCATGTCTTCACCTTGTGGGACGTCCCCAGGACTCAGGTCTCCGGGATCAAGCTCAGGTTGGCCTGTGGGTGTCAGGGCACTGACCCCATCCCGGTCGCTTTCTTCCCCCTCGCTCTCAGGAACCACTTGCCTCGGCTCATCAGCACCACTCAGTTTCTGGCTCGATGGCGGAGGGTTGACAGATGCTTGTCCACTCCATGAGGACGAGGGCATGCTGGTGACACCTTGCCCACCATCTCCTCCTGATGCTGGAGATTCAGGGCTCTGCTCAGGACATTCTTCCGTCCCTGCGAGGGCGCCGGGCAGCCCCCCTGGGATATCGGGGACAGTCGGTGTTTTGACAGGAATCACTGGCGTCTTGATGGGGATGGGACCTCCCCCGATGGTGCCACGTCTGACAGAAGGCTTGGTGGAAGGGGTCCTTCGGATGGTGGCCACGCCGGGGGTGACGATGACGGGTCCCAGGGTGGTTGGCAGACCTGCGGTGGAAGCAGGACGCTTGGTTTGAAACATTCTACGATAGGACTGGCTAATGTCGCTGTTTCTCGGGATGGTGGAGGATTTGTCAAACTCTTGTTGTTCTGCCTCCTGGTCACCACTCACAGAGAAATAATCATAATCTGAAACTGATGCCAAAAGACACAGTTAGGAGGAAGCTGGTGAAGACAGCTGAGACACGTCAGGAAGTCTAAAGTGTGCCTAAGCAAAAAAGGTACATATAGCCAAAAAAGCCTGGAGGTCAATAGCAACTAAGAGAGGTTCCACCTTTAGAAGGAAGGAAGCCCAAAATACTGTGACCTACATACTCAGACTTGGAGGCTGAAGGCAGAGACTATAGTAGACTGACCCTAAAGCTGCAGGGTGCCCACGTGACTTGTGGAAGAGAAGAACTGTACACACTCAGTGCCTTTTCTGAAAATAACTAATTAACCAACCAAGACTCAATGTTTGTTGCCAACATTAAGATACCAAAGCCAGCATCCTACAAGCCATATGTTACCACTTGTAGATACAAATACTTGAAATAGTCAGTGACTAAGAAGTGTACTTTAGACTAGGCAAGGTGGGGCTCAGGGGACTGTGTGCCAGTGATTTCAGCAGGAAATTTCCTTATTTTGCAAACAAAGTATATCCCAGCTGTCAGCTCTGAAAACTCAGCCTCAGTTTTAATAACTGCATTGGGTTTGGGCCGTTCTGCACAGGGTTCCTTCCTTTCCATGTATCTGCAGAGCCAAGCTGGGCCCTCTGCAAGCTCTGCTGCCTCTTGCACAGCACCACTGACCCCAGCTGAGCAAACAAGGCAGTTTCTGACCTGCTATCACCAAAGTCTGTCACTCTCAGCTTGCTGCTCGTTCTAAAATGGTACAAAATCCAACACCTTACTGCACCTTCCCTGGTATGCCCAAGTTAAGGTCTCCAGGGGATTATTTTTCCAACTGTGACAATTTCTGCTTAGGTAGGAAATAGAAGGTCACAAAGGGAAACTAAGAGCAGATTCAGAGAACTGACAGAGCATGAAAGCAAAGCTCATGAGTGCATATTTGCTAAGACAGTATCTCTGAAAGGACATTACTACCACAAGCAGTGTATTATGCAGTACCAGTGTCATTTCACTTAACACATGAAATGCAATTCTAGCATCTTCTTTAAAATGGTAGCATCCTTAAGCTAAAACTCATACCAGTAATGCACAAGAAAATATGATTGTTCATTACACTACGCAGAAATCTAGCTTTCTATTTAGTTAATAAATCCAGGCTGCATTCCAAGCTAGAAAAAGCTTCACTACAGCAATGTTCATCCCTTTCTCCACAGCTGACTATAAATGCAGTGAGCGACAGCTGCTGGAATACAGCTCCTTGGCACAGAGGGGTGAGTGTTTGATGGCCAGGCTGGGAACACTGAAAAATAACAGCTCTTGGAGGGGTACCTTGAGATGGGATGGTGTCCTCTGAGCAGCATGGAGTTGTTGTCTGGGTGCTGTAGCCACTGGAGCACTGCAAGGAATCCCGACTGCTCCTCTGGGTGTCTAGCTGCAGCCCTCTCGACAGAGCAAGTGCCAGCTCCTCGCAGGCCTCCATCTCCTCACCCTGCTGGTTACACACAGAAAGGAGCCTCATTACGTCTAGGCCTGTCAAACCAACCATTTACTAGGGCTTCAAAGAAACAGACACTTCTTTGGGTGCTGTTGCTGTACAAAAGCCAACACCCAGTGGCAGGTTCTCTCCTGCCCACCCGACCTCCACTGACCACACCACCCCCACGTGGATCAAGACAGGCCAACATGGAGTACGACAAAAATGTACGCAGGAGCTCGCGCATCCGCCTCCTTTGCATCAAACAGTGTATTCAAAAACAGAGCTTCACCCTGGTGGCAGCTGACACGGTCATGCTCCGAGGTCTCTGGGCCTCCTCGGGGGGCACGGGTGGTCCACTCTGAGCTCCTCCGTTGAGATCTGGTTCGCGCTTCTCCTTGCGACGTTGCAACGTGTTCACCACGGGTTGGTCATATGGGCCTGGTTTGGCCCAGTCCTAAGGAAAAGTGCTCGTCAGTGACAGCTTTCATCAATAACTCTGCTTTAACTACAAGTAAAGCTATGCAAAAGGGCAAACTAGTTATGTATCAAACTGGCTATGCCTTTTGAATAAGACTAGAAGTAGATTAGTTTTAAGGATATTAAAAATATCCACTTACAGAACCTATCTCTTTTATCACAGAGAATCTAAATTTCCTATTCTACCTAAGTGTTCTTATATGAAGGTATTTAATCTTCTAAACCTTTTCTCTAATGAAATTCCATTGTGTTAAAGCCTGTATTTTCAGAAATTCAAATGCAAAAATCAATGGCACACAGCAAAAAAATATACATAAATGTCCAATCAGAACTATGCTCATGTCCACAAGTTCTAGTACTAGATACTGTGATACATGTCTTCAAATCTGAAAAATTAGGCTTGAACAGGTTTGTGATGCACATGAGAGGAGCCAGTTACTCTGAGCAATCTCTGTTTTCTTGCTAGCTGAAAACTAGTTTATAATAATGATCCATACTGAAGAAAGGCTAACTTCATTCTGAATTGCTGGTGCCAAGTTTGAAGCAGAAAATCCTCAGGCCACAGGGGCTATATTCACTCAGGGCTCTATTAAGCAAAGTCCTGAGGGTGTCCAGAAACCACATTTCACACAAAGAGCAGGACTCACCAGTGACCTGTGTTGGGATGCAGAACCACCGCTAAGCAACACCTCCCCAGATGTGAGCTGCTGCAAGGGCAAGCCCAACCCTAAGAGAGTTTCCCCTCACCAAGACAAAAGCTGCTTTAAAAAATAAAAGAAACAATTTGTGCATGAGAACAGGCCACACCCCCCACCACTGGCAACAGCTGGCTGCTGGGCAGCCCCTGCTCAGCCTTCTGATAAATAGTTAATGATGGGCTAAGAACACAATGTAGACTTTATTGACATGTGTCTCAGTCCAAGGTATGAGAGGTGCAAAGGCAGCTGTCCTGACAGAAGCCCCCTGTACAGACAGCTCTTTTGGTTTTACTAATAGTTACTCTGTTTTCCCTGAACAGCTGTGTCTTTGCTCTAAGTGTTTTGCTTCTAGCACAGACACGACTAGCAATGCTGAAGCCCCCAGACCACTGTGGCCACCCCATGCATACATCTCAACATCTCACCAGTCTCCAGCTGCTGGAGAGAGGTTAGTCTGAAGCAGTAAAGCCGGGGCAGCTTCAGTCACCACTTGGGCTCACCTGGTGACCAGCACCTTCTTAAACCACTCCAGCTAGATCTACAAGAGCATGCCTGCCTATGGCCAAGGTGGGGGCCAAGTACAGCTGCCACAGTGAGAACATCATGTATGGTTTCACTAAGCCAACTGGATGCCAAGTCTGTGCTTCCCTGCTCCAGTGAGAGCTTTCACATGGCTAAACAAGCTCTTTTCTCGCTGAACAGAGCCCCAAGCGCCTTCACTGGTGTTCCAGAGTTAAAACTATTCCTGCCTTCCTGCGTGTTGTCAACTTTAGTATGACATGGTAATTCATAAATATCCACTACCAGATTATAGCCCATTATCACCATGCAGTGCCCATTCAGATAGCAGAGAGAGCAAATCAACAAGTAATTACATGGATCAAAAGGTATCAACAACCGCCATGCGCACACTGTTGGTATGAGGGGGTGAGGACTGCCACAACAAAAGGAACACAAACCTTCCAGCTAGGGATCTTAGATGATGGTAACATGCCTGGCCCAATGGTGTAATAATGAACGTAGTCTGGAAGGAGGGCTGAGGGAGCCCGAGTCCACGCGCGGGAGACAGGCGGGAAATGAGGGAAAGGACCTGCACCAACTGAAGCTACGGATGGGTCACTTGATAAACTACAGTGATAATACCCATTAGACAACTGGAAACGAAACAAATAAACAAACAAAACAGAGAAATTAATATAAACGGAATGAATATGGAAATACACTGCGACTCTGATGTTCTAGGGAGAAAACTTCGGTATCTTAAAACAAAAGAAAGAAAAAAAATCTTAGCTTTGCTGCAAATAAACAACAGAAAATTGATACAGTGCTTGGTTCAGAAGGAAGATTGCTTGAAAATTGTTATTAGGTATAACAAATTTCAGACATCAATCTAGCAGTCATTGTCTCCAGGCTGAGTGGCTTTGCCTTCTGTCCATGAAAGCAGCACACTGAGAAGAAGCCTTTACAATTTAGGTACCCTGTAGACTGCAGACACAGAAACTAAACTTTGCCAATACTGGAGGCATTTGCATTTACGGTGTTTGTTCTGTCTAGCTGGACAGAAAGGAAAAGCCCACAGCCTTTGAAAATGATGTGCTCTGGCTGTGTGATGATATGGAAGAAAAAACAAAACAAACAGAAAAACACAACAGTAAGGATTTACCAGATGAGAATGGAGACCGCTATCACTTCCTCCCCAAGTCAGAGTGTATCCCCATAATTTATTCCAACCCTGTGTGTTTTGTTTTGGTCAAAAAACACACCCCAGCTGCCCAGTGTAACACATGCTACCTAATGGGAGCGAGGGAAGAAGCCACAAACAGCACAAGCTGGGCAAGATGCTCTCTGTTAAGCAACCAGATGGGTTTGGGCAGCATCCCATAATCTCTTTGAGTAGAAAAGGTGGACAAATAGCTTTTCTTGGAAAATTACCTCTGTAAAATGCCCAATTTGTATCTTCCCCCTAGCAACTAGTTCAAAGGCAAGTGTTGCTGTGGTTTATTCAAACAGACTCATTTTTAAGGGAGTGTGCAACAGTTCCTATTCTCATCTTCACAGGGAGAAATCCCGGCTGTGTCCCATGCACAAGCTTTTTTTTGCTTTTATTGTTCAAATGTCGCTGGGTTTGGATAACGAGCTACTAGGTTTGTATGTCTTTGAGATGAAGTTTTTCACCTTATCTGTGGAGGCCCAAGCCCCCATGGTGGAGCCTGAGCTGACTGAGGTGGGGGAACTGCACTCGCTCACTGACTGGCAGGTTTCAGAGGCTTCTGAAGAGGCAGAGCTGGACGAATTCTGCAGCGTAACCCAGCACCGCAGGGGAAGGATGCACAAGCCACCAGAAGAGAAGGAACAACACAACATACACACACACAAAAAGACAAAAAAAAGCACGTACACAGAGACACACACAGGAGAGAGGGAAGGATGAGAGAAGCAGAGGGTTAGGTTTTTAAAAATCAATTAGAAACTGATCAAAGTCATTGCTAATGTTCAGGAAAACTGTGAAAAACAAAACAAGCCGTTTGCTTAACGTGAGAACTTGCCAGGCTGCGAGAGAACGAGGGAATCGAGGCAACGATCTCAACTCCCCACTGCAATTTCAGCCTCTCAATTCTGTGAGCTGTCTCAGAGCAAGAAGCTGAGGGAGCTGAGGGAACCTACAGTCCAAACATGCAATATACCGAGACAACCGGCTCATATAGAAAAGCAGATCATCAGTACTTCAGAGACACCAAGTTTAGATTTCAAACATAGAGCAGCAAATGTCACTTACATTCACAAGTTCTCGGATATTTTGATCTGCAAAAAGTGCTTGTGAAAAGCTCATCTGAGTTCAAATATTATGGAACAGAGAAAGAAGTGATACTTACCAGAGCTGGAGGATTCCAAAGTGCATTATCTGTATGCATGTGCCTCTGCAGGTAGGATGCATACACCAAAAGCACTCTGACTCAAACTTTTCTGCCCAGCAGCTAATATGGAGGTACATGTACTCTGCTGAGTGCATAAATGGTGGCATGTGCTTGCCACATACCTCTTAAGAGCAGAGAGAGAAAATATCAGAGGCTCGGGTGGAGAAGAAGGAACATGCAGGATATAGGGTGTCCATCAAACACCTCCAACATTTAGCTCTTAGCTGGAAACTTCTCTTCCTCTTCTCAGTGCACAGCTTTATCTACATTTGCTGCTGTAAGACCTCCACAACAGTATCTAACTCACCTACAGGCAGGCCAAGGTGAATAATCATGGACCACTACAATGCTCTTACACATCTCTCCCTTGAAAGTGGCATTCCCCTCAGCAGGGGTGGGTGTGCAGGTCCAACCAAGTGCTTGGAAATTATTACAAATACTGGCAAAGCTGTCAGGGCAGTACTGAGCATTATTCAATCCTAGGAAATTCAACACTAGAAAGACTAATTAATCCTTTGGTACTCCAAGATCTGTGAAGCAAGTCTAAGGATATCCCTAACATTTTACTGAATGACAGCCATGAGAATGGCTGAGATTTCCCAAAATGCACTCTTGTATGAAGTTGTAGCAAAGCCTCAGATTTCAAGGAATGACATTTTGAAGAGGAAAGGCAATCTCATCTGAAATAAAGTTTCATCAGCTAACCTTACATGAGATCTTGGGGTGAGTTTGCAATAAAAAGACAGCTGGATAAGAGGCGCTGTACAGTAATTCCCCCTAACACCCAGAAGTTGTCTCACTGCTCATCAGATGCCACGTACAAAGAGTGTACAGATAATTGCCTAGGCAAAAGATGGTATTTGTCCATCACCATAAGGATTTTGGTGAATACTGTTCGGGCTGTTGAGAAGCCAAAACAGTATCAGCATTCTGAGCTTAGTAGCAAACTGTGGATTTAAATGAAATTTTGCAAAGGCTGTTTTTAAAAAAGTATGTAATGTGGTGGATCATTTCATAAAATTAATACAGATCCTATCTCATACTGACACAAGAGCAGATCTGCAGGCAACCTGTCATGTGTTTAGGGCACAAGGAAACTCAGCTAACAAGGCCTGTATTCAAAATTCAGTAAGAGTTGAGATGAACCTAAGATCAGAAGAAACTACAACAAATGACATGTAGCTATTAAGGAGAGAAGTGAAAAGTAGGCAGGGGGGTACCCGGTGATGCAGTGGCTTCATGTTTTGTGGAACTTGTCATGCTCTTGACTTAATACAACTCCTTTTGCAGCAAAAAAACCTCTAAAAATAAGAATACTGGCATACACGAGCTGCAGTTGAGACACTCCCATCAGGCATAACCACAGGATATTAAGTGGAGGTGAGTGTATTTTTTTCTCTTTAGAGAAAAACAGATTACAAAAAATTAGCTTTTAGTTCAGCCTGACATTCTAGGCAGCTCAGCAAAAGAAACTGTTTGAAAACCCCACCAGAACCCTCACACTAGTGTTAGTCTTTGGTTAGGGGAAAATAAAATAAAAAAAAAAAAAATTAAAATAAAAGTATTTTCAGAAAATGCTTTCAAAAACCTCATGCTTATGGCCTGAAAGACCCTCCTGGGTCTACATACTCTGCATGTGGCAGGACAGACAGTGAAGAGTCTGAGTTCTAAATACTGCACCATACCACCTTGTTTTCTGCAGATGCCCTGATGATGACAAGCAAGAATTTGGAGTTTACACACCATAGACTATTCCCATTCACAAGTCAGAAATTTCAAAAGATTATGTGAAGCAGTGGTAGAAATGAGTCATAAAGAGGTTTATTAGCAATAAAGCTGCATGTAGCAATTAGATGGGAAAAGGCCAAAAATGCAAATTCTGAAGATGGAGAGAACTGTTCAATTTATTTGGTGTATAGGGAAAAAAGACCTGAAGTGGTAAACTTATTTTTGTATTAAAGAGGCTCAAAGGTTAATGAAAGATAAAAGAAAAGACTATTCCACTAACTCAGCATGGCCATTTTCAACAGGCAATGTCAGACAAAGGATAAACCAAGATGCCACAGGGAAAAAACACCTTGGTAGTTGAGGGAAATGCAAGAGGTGATGGAAAGGAAACAGGATCTCATCTTGAGAAACTTGCATGACTCAGGGAAGGGGAGCCACTGATCTTGCTAAAAAAGGATAATAACAGTGAGAAAACAGTGGTGAGGGAGGCAGAATACTGAACCCCTGAAGGAAAAGTGTGAAGAAAATGCAACTGGCAGCAGGTCAAAGGCTGCAGAAACAGTCTTGAATGGTTGGACCTGGGTGTGGGAAGCACAGACCACCCTTCACTTCTAAGCAGAAAGTACATGAGGCGGTGAAAACATAAACTGCACAGTCACTGCTTGAGCAAAAAGTCTCCAGACTTTTGAGTGCTTGGTCCTGATGCACACCCATGGGCATGCACGCCCCGGGAGCACACGCACAGGCAAACACTGGGCAGAGCAGCTTCTGCTCACATCCCATGGAGTGAGAAACCTGACTAAGGGATTTTTTCACATTATTTTAGCCAATTGCTTTTTTAAATGATTCTTCAGTTTGAATAATTTTTAAAAGTAGTTATTTCATTTTAGCTATTTTAACCCCAGGAGATTATTTTTTTCCCCACAGCTGCGACAATTGTGGTTCTGCTCCACTCTCAAACCATCTCTTCTGCAAAAAAGCTTCAAGTTAACAGTATCAGCAGAAAGCTAAAACTGTGCTTTGTACAGTAACAATCAGTAGAAATAAATTGGCTTTGTCCTGGATCAAACCAGGACATCAAATGTAGGCTGTACACATGTAGCTTGGTATCTTGTCCCTCAGTCATTGTGCCACAGCTTGTTCTTGGATAGCATCCCACTGCTTGGTGTGGTATGTATGAATTCCAGCAAGGATATATAAAAAAGTTGCATTTTGGACTACAGGGCTGTATAATTACCCTTTCCATCTGTTGTCCTTCTCACATATAAAAGGACCACAGTTGTACCGTATTACTTGCAACCTTTGTTTGCTATGTTTTCCAGTAAAATATAGTACTGCTTTCTTAACCTCTTCCCTTCCTCAACTAGTGAGACCTTCCTGGGCAAGAGTTTCCCAGGAGGCTAAATCCTAATGAAGAGCTTAGTCCAGTGTTCCTCCACGGTCAGAGGAAGATGTCTCATTATATTTCAAAAAGCTCTGGATAGTGACTCAGGGACACCTCCTCAATTTGTCTCACTTCCAGGAACACGTCTCTACTGACCTGTTTTCTATGCAGGGGAAAAAACTGTTGGGTTACTTAACTTAAAAAGGAAGTTCAGGAGACACAAATACCTGGTGATAATCTACAAATGCATTTCAGTTCTTCTGTTGTTGTTATTTTGGGGTTTGTTTGGGTTTTTTTGTGTATGTGTTTTTTTTAAGGTTTTACTTGGGAGCACTTCTTACTTTACATGTAAAACTTAATAGTTGTTATAATATATTTCCTCTATTTTAACTTCAAGCTGTTTCAAGCAATGGAGTCTCCTCAAAGGCAGAATCTTTCCATCTTGCTAATCTGTACATGCAGAAGAAAGTTCACATGCGGTTTCCCTCTATTTCACTATTTACTGAAAGTGATTTCCAGAATATTCTAAGAATCAAGACTTAGGCCTCTGCTGTTTGACAGCACATCAAGATCTTTTCTCTTCATCTGCTTCTTTCTCTCCTCCTGCTTTCATCCTCATAAAGTCATAAGCAGCCTCTAATATCCAACTGTATAATTGTTTCCCTCATGCATGTTCACTCCAAGTTCAGTAGACTCTTCTATTGTTATGCTCTAAAGAAAACACAGCCATAGTACTACTTCACTGCAGATATCCCCACACCTCAGTTTGTCTGCTACATAAGGCAGTATGTGGGTCTAGCAACACCAGCCAAGTTCAGTGTTCACCCATGAGCTACTGGGTTCTCCCAGCAGCAGCTCTGTCCAAAGGGCTTTCCTCCGTGTCAGCACATGCCCTGGGCAAAGCTGGCCAGGGCTGACCTCAAATCTGGCACTGAGAGAAACTGCTGCACTCCAGAAAGAGACCTGTGATGCTTTTCCAGCTGTTCAGCTTTACCCTAATGCACTTGCTTAATTAAGATTAAAGCATTTCATAGTGACCTTTCCACACACACAGCTATCTGTTCAGGATGACACTTTTGATTCCCAGGGATGTTTATGACAACACTGCAGAAAAGAGATTGTACTAAACCAGTGTAAGGGCGGGGTCTGGTTTTATAATTGCTTTTTTTCCCTATCTTCTAAGTAGAGTATGAGAACTGTAAAGACTTACTACTCTGTAACTACTGGCTGCAAAGCAGTCTTCATTTTGCCAGTCATCTCTCCCTCTGGTATAGTCTGTTATCTTGTTTAAATCTCTACTTATTCCTTGTTTGACTCCCCCCCATCTGTGATTCTGAATGAACTCAGTTTAATTTTCAGTGACACTTTCTTGTCTCAAATGTAGGTGACAGCACAGAAGCTTCACATAGCTCATATACCCTCACTCCCCTAATATGGGAATGTTATGTACATTCTTCTACATTTATGTAATCCATTATTAAAAGAAAAATGACTTTGTTGTCTTCAAAACTACTGCTGGCAGTAGATGCCACAGCATGTAGCTAGCAAAACATCAGTGAAGCACCCACCTGCCTGAGATACATAGCTTTTAATTTCCTTTGTTGATTCCAGACCTTGCTTTTCTGCTGTCTCAGTGTCACTACCAGAAACAATGACATCAGTGTTTTAAATGCAGCCAGCAGCCGATAGGGCTGCTCCTCCCCACCCACCACTGAGCCTCAAAAGCACAGCACCACAAGGAAGATCTGTCAGTTGGTTAGAGACACACAACATGAAATAACGCTGTAAATTGAACAGCTTCTGGAGAAGCTCACGATCACAATTATCTGTCAGCACAACACACACATTTTACTTAGTGCTGAACATACAAAGCAAGACACTTAAGCAGAGATGAAGCGGCCAGGCAATGATCTGTTACCTTTTCCTTTGTGTAAAGGTAGACAGAACTAGACACATACAGAGCACATACCTATTTTTTTTTATACCAACACACTACACTTGTCAAGTCAACTCCACACTGCTGCAGCCTTCTACAGCTCATGAATAGCTCAAGTGATGCTCGGATCAGTTTGCAACTTTATGGGCAGTTTCTAAAATGAAGTGAAAGCGTAAGAACTTAGCTGGTGTAAATCAGCATGACTCCCATCAGCTTTCAGGATGTTCTGCCAGCTGATACCCACCTAAGTTCTCTCCCCTGCTTAACAGGGTAACTTGCAAAGAGAGGTGTTGGGTTCTTTCCATGCTAAGGGCTATTGCAGAGTTACATCCTCATCTGCAAACATAGCACTATTATGTAGATTACTACCTTTTTATGCAGGTGCAGTGGATACCATGGAAACCAAAGATGATGCTAGCATGTATAACTGATGTGCATATCTTAAAAGTCAACTTCCTTACCTTCTTACTATTCCAGTATACTTTATTATTGCTCATTTACTTTTTTTGCATTTCACTTAGGTTAGCCATAGCCAATCTAAACAAAACATTAATTTTATTAGTGTGCACAAAGTTCTTCAGGATGTCATCTATAAAAAAATGCTGATGTGTCCAGACTGGGGATAGTGCAGAAGATTTATTCATTTGAAAACAAAGCTTTTCTATTAAAATGAAAGAGGTAAATATATTAAAAAACTGTTGAGCTTCCCTTGAGAACATGTTCCAAACCTAAATGAACCAGTGTTGTTTTGGATTATATCCCCAAAAATTTTACTTACTATATGTTCTGCAAAAAATAAGGGCCTATGGGCTGTCAAAGGTGGTCTAGGAGTAGCTTAAGTGTGCAGGTAACACTTCGTAAATGCTAACACTGAACAGATGAAAAGAAGTGAAACTGTATTTATTAAACTAAAGGACAATCTTCTCCAGGAACCTCAAGGTGTATTAAAAATCAGTGATACTCGACAACAGGGTATTGGGTCCTTTGCAGTTTGTAACTAAGATTCATGGTGGGATTTAAAATGTGAGATGACAGTTCAGCCTTCTTTAAAAAATTAAAAAAGTTGAAAAACTTTAAAAATTTGAGGTGTGATTTGTTAAAAAAAAACCCCAAAATAGAAAAAAAACTTCAGGTGCTGGAAGATACAAGCCATGGAGGCATGAAAACCTCTGCCAGATAGCTTTTATAGGAATGGTGCTCTGAAAAACAGAGCAGCAGCTTCCTCCTGCAGACCAGAAAATGGTCTGGAAAAGTTTAGCTTGTATTTATAGTGAAATCCTCTTAGCTTGACTGGGTTTGGGACACTATCCTAAATGACTACACAAACAGTCATGGCTTATGAATTCTACAATAAATTAAAAATACCCCTCACTTTCTTGCAGAAACCTTATTTCTGCAAGGTGCCCAATTGAGAGTCAAAAAGAGCAAGCTTATCCACAGACAGGGATGTAATGAAAAATGGCAAAACATATTTAATATGAAAATGCTATTGGCATTTTGAATATTCCAGGCCCTTTGCAGGGGATGAATAAAAGTAGTCTCTCTGATGCCAAAACCACCAGTATCGACACCAAGGCTGTCAGGAGGCTGTTCTGACACTGGTATTTGTTCATTAAACAGTCAACAGCCACCAGATACTAACAAATTTCAATCTAGTCAGGATATTAACGGTTAACCTCAGTGGGTAAAGTGAATATTTATTCCCTCCTGTAAGGCAGAACTTCTTGCTCTTTCTCATCTGTACCTTATCTGAAAGTTAGGCATCTAGGCTCCCTCTAGGGCCAGAGCAAACATCAGATTCATGGAGAACAACTTATCATTTTCTTCAATGCTAACTGCAAGAGCAGCAAAAATCACTCCAGCTAGAGGCCCAACTTTTAGATGGCTGAAGTGCAGTGTGACAAACCTTAACCTCAGTGTTTAACCTGACTCCAAGGCACCCCCAAACCACACCAGATCCTTTCTGTGAAAAGTGAGCCAAGTCACAAAGTCCAGCTCACGCTCAGGTTTTTGTTCTCATGCTTGCACGTACCTGGTTAGGTGCTTCTGGTGGCATGGGGGATGGCGATTTGGACTGGAAAGCATCCTGGGACATGAATCCAGAATCATGGGAGGACACACTGGACAGCCTCATGGGTGCCTGCTGAGGCAGATTGGAGCTGCGATAGCGATAGTGTGAACTAGGTGAGTGCGAGTGCGAGCCACTGGACCGGGAATCACTACTGTTAACGCTGTTCAGACTGCTGTGAGAGACAAAAGGAACACAGAAAGGAAAGGGGAGAGGAAAAGACACAAGGGCGGGGTGGGGAGAGACCCATACACAGTACAATTAACATTCCACATGTCTCTAGCAACAGGCAGAATAAACCGGAAAAGAAATATTGCTGACAAATTAAATATATATATATATGCACAGATATATATCTGTGAAGAACCATAAGCAGCTGCAGTATCCCTTGCAGCCAGAGAGAAAATGGCATTTTACCTTGAATTTCACTCAAATGATCAAATTCAGTAACCACTCACAGTTGAAGGTCACATTAGGAATGAAGGAATCACTACAGGCCCTCTCTAACATTTGCACAGCACTTGCACAAAGAATGCCTGCTGACAGCTCTTCCCTATTTCTGACTTACACCTTGGTGCTCTTGCACCATGGCCTAAATTTTCAACAGGATCTCTAGCAGGGGGTCCAAAGGCATCACAGTTCATCTGTAATTCTATGAAAAGTCTGCCTTGAGGCACACTGGTGCCCTCAGTCCACAGAGCAACATGTCAGACTGCTGAAAGCATCACCAAAAAAGCCCACGCTTCAGAAGCATCTGGGACAAGTTTTGCTGACATGAAGGCTTTCTATCAGCAAAAGAGCAAGTGATGGCATAGTGAGTGAAGTCAAGGCTGTGGGTTTGTAGCTTTAGTTAGAAAGAAAGAATCAGAGAAATAGAACCCCAAATTAGTATCTGTGCAAAAAAAAAAAATTAAAAAAAAATTTAAAAAATGATTCTTCAAACAAAGGGATTGATTTTTAATCTCCAGTATCCACAAATGACAGCAAAAAAAATGCCAGCCACAATGTGGGAGCCCCTGCTGAGGTGGCTGAGCAGGACTAGCAGGATGCATCAATCTGAAGGCAGCTCCCTACCTTTGTTGGCAGGAGCCCACTGACTAACTGAAGGGATGGCTCTGAAGGATACATGGGCGAGGACTGCACCCTCTGTTCACAAATGCCACTTACACAGAAGATGTACAAGTGGCCTGGTGCAGGGGAAGAGGAACTCTTATTTTAGTCATATGCAACAGTCTGAGGCCATACACACTTTACCACACAAGAAGATGAGGTAGATTAGGAAGAGAAGACGGATTTTGTAATTTTTCTTGCCATTTTCTTTTACAGCTTCAGGATATTGCATCTTTAAGCCTGTGCTCATTGCTGTAAATATGCATGTTTTCACATATATATAAAAGTATGGCAGGTTTTTTATATATATCTGCATGCAGAGACAAGTAGGTACATAGGAGAAGTCATGTTCACTTGCTCTGACATGCTATGGGTAACTTTGCTCATACACAGGGGTCCTGCAGTACATTGTTCATAAAGCCAACTAAAAGGTAATCATTCGAGAGCAGCTAGAAAGGTGTTGAGCAGAATGCACAGTAGGGTATCTTCCTTTTCAGTAAAAGGAAAGAGTAAATGTAGACACCAGGGTATGGGGGCAACATGCTAATAAACTGTTTTACAAGAGAAAACAGTTTTTACAGAGAAAGCATAGACAGAATCCAGTGTTTCAACATATTTCAGGACAGCATTAAACAGTCAAAAAAACTTGTATCAAAAAAGCATTTCCATCTACCAGACTGATAGGGCAATTGTCAAGGATGTTTTTCCTTTTCAAACAGTTTAACTTACTGATTAGTAACAGCTACTTAGAATAATCTAAAAAGTCATCACATGAAAAACAGAAAAGGAAATTATGAATGAACAATCTCAGAGCTTAGATCGGTACAGTCTGCTCACTGATTTGAAATGGATTCAAGAGAACTGAATCAAAAGCATCTTCAAGTTGTCTTGAGTTCTAAAGTTGTTCAGTCATGCCCATCCTGTTTAATATTCCCAATCACACACTTTAACAGATAAAGACCATGAGGGATTGATTTCATTAAGATTTGTTACTTAATATTTAAGTATGCACATAAATCCACACCACAGTCTGAACTTGCCTCCCTTTGCCCCTAAATGGGTTAATATTAAATATTACCAGTCTACTTACCTGCAAACACTAGATTTTCTGGACATGGTAGTACTGGGAGAGGATGGAGGAGTCTGATAAGACCAGCTGTAATCAGAACCTTTCAAATCTAAAATTACCTGATGAAAGATAATCAATAGCATCAAAGACGGGGAAATTTTTTCCCCCAAATAACAGAAAGTTTGTCATACAACATTGATCACCACTACAAACTTTCAATGCCAATTGACCCAGTCTCAGTTCTCTTCCAGAATTACACTGAGTATGTTACACAGGAGTCAGCTTCATCCTTGGCTTTCCAGGAACTACCATACTTCAACACTAGGGAGGCTATCACAGAAGGTAAGTTTAGATTCAAATAGAAAAGTCTTAAAAAAGTAAACTGGAGATGTACTTTATCCAGGCTGCAACCTGTTTTGGTTTTGTTTGATTTTTTCTTAAAATAATATTACAGCCTTAGAGTTTCAAAACTGTCACATTTTTAAAAATTAATCAAAGATCCAGTACTCAACCACAGAATAGCTTCCCTGCTTTACACTTCTAGGTCAAGGATAAAGTGATTAAGGTATGACAAGAAAACTGAGTTCATATAGCAGGGCTGGAGAAAAGGGTTGTACCTGGAGTCAGTTAGTGATACATATTTTCCTGTGCATTTTAAAGACAGCAAGGAAAAATGTTCAGATGTTAGGCTCCATCAAGCTATCTATTCACAGCAATCTGGTGACTACATAGAGACAGGGATGCTCAAATGAAGGGTGAGGAGATGACATTCATTCTTCATGTACCCTCATCAGCAGAAATTGAGCATGTTCATGTACTTTAAAGTGCTACTGCTACCACTTCACACTGGTCTCACCAAATACTTCAGGAGCACTCAGCTGGTACTTCAAAATCTTTTTTTTTTTTAATTGCTTATGTTAAAAATTACCTTCCTGCATTGAAGCACCTGCAAAACATAATGTTAAGCCACTAGATGTGAGTAGTGACTATTTTTTTGAAAAGGAAAACTGGTACAAGCTACAGATAAAAATGTTTTCCAAGTATCAAGAGCTAACCTGTTCACTTGAAGATGGTAATTTGTGTGGATCCATGGTGAGACTTTTCAGGTCATCTGATATGGTTTGTAAATGGGTTATTTCCCCTAGCATTGATATTTCTTCTTCCTGAAAAGACAAAAGAGCAAGGCTAATCACAGCCTTGGTTTTAAAAATCAGACCCATAACACAATTCATGACCTTCTTCTTTTTGCTGATGACTGTGGGAATGCTCAGCACAGCTGCTTTTTCTTTGTCCATCAAGCAATTGCTACTTATGAAAGTGTTTGAAATATTAATTTAGAGTTTTCTAACTATTTTAAGATTGCTTGAGGTTCTGAGGCCCAGAAATACTTTCTCTTATCAATGACATAGGTCTCAGCTTGCTTTCTGTGACATTTTCAGAAAAGGAGTGTCATTTTTGCTGCGTTTGGGAAGATTTAACTCTTCTGTGTATACGCACTAGTGTGCACTAAGGATTTTAACCTTGAAGCTGAACAGGTGTTAAAACTCTTATTTTTTAGTGGTTCTTGTAAACTTTGAGCCAAAGGCACTATAACAGGTACAGAGCAATAAAACATCTATGATTCACTGTGGCTCAAGCTACATCAACAGCTAACTTAGATTATTCCTGCACTGCAAATTACTGCAGTAATCCCTTAGCTACCACGGTCATTTCATCCAGGTCCTCAGGGTCTGTAATTCACCTCCTCCTGCCCAGCCATCACCTTCCTACTTCTCTAATCATGGCTTTCTGTTGAGACTGATGCTCTTTGTAAAAAAGCATGTGGAACATTTTTCCCAGTACGCTGGAGACCCTTCAGAAATACATCATGCTTGCACAAAACCACAAATGATTCATGGCTGAGCTTCAGACAACCTGAGATTATGAAAATATACTTAAACCTTTTCAATGAACTGGAAAAGCTGTCACGTAGGAGGAAAAGAGCTGCCAGAAAACTGCACGGAAGCAGCCTGCAATCTGTCAGATAATGTCATTATATACACAGGGGATGCATTGAAACATTTATCAGTCCTAGCACTGGAATAGGAGTAAGGAAGATTTATATTAAAATGTGGTGTTAAGAAAATAAAGCATTGAAAAAAACTGCATTAGCAATGTCTCAGGTTGGTGTGCATAGGGAACTCAAGCCCACTTGAGTCTTCGTGTCCATTGTTTTCCTATTAGTCATCCTGGAAGCAATTTAGTGTCTTCAGTTGCTCAGTTATCCCAAATGCCTGTAAGCCAGAGCCCAACTCTCACCACTTCCCAGGCAGAGAGGCAGGCTGAATTTTGCCTGAATTTCTATAGCTCTAGAGATTCATTCCTAAGACATTAAAAGCTACTCTTTTGAGAGGCTTTTGGCTGCTCATCCAATCTGTGAATTGTATTGACTTAAAGCAGAGAGCTCTTACTATCACGGGCCGCAGCATCGAGATGAAAGTACAGAACCGACCGCGCTCCTCGATCAGAGCCTTTCTGACCGCCTGCTTCTCCGTTTCTTCCAGCAGCAGGTACTTATCATTGACATCTTGTAAAGCACTATCCAGCTGGGGCTGAATGTCACCCCGTCCTGTAAGTAGGAAACAATCAAGAGTACATTTTGTCAGAACTGTGGGTCTCCAGAGAGGATGACCTTATTTTCAGGACTGCTGTCAGACTGGGCTTTCTCAATTCAAGTCACCACCAGTGTTTTTCCTGAATTCAGGTCAGTAAGGTATTCTTTCCCAATTAAATCAAGCATTTCATAGCTTTTTTTTATTTCCTTCTGCATAGAATAGAAATCCTTCTCAATTAGAAAAGTTTCAAGAAGCCAAAGACAGCATTTCACATAAGGACTTTCTCAAAGTCCCAGCTGTAGAAACCTTTCACATCACCCTTGCTGAAAATCAACATCTTACTAACTGCGAGAGTTTTAATCACTAACCCAAATTATATTCCTCTTCCTTCCTTCTGTGTGCAAGGTCCTAACAACAACTTTGTGGAGCCACTAAATGAGCGAATTAATCTCCTGTATGAGATGGTCTTACGGACATGTTAGTGATTATTGGACCAATGGATTCAAGTATTCTACACAAGCAAATGCTAAAATAGTTTTCTTAATTCCAAAGTCCAAACCAAAACCTATCAACATCTTAAATACACATTAATGTCCAGTATTTGCTATGGGGGAAAAAAAAAAAAATCTAAAGCTCTGCAATCAAAAAGCTTCACTGTGTTAATTATAGTCAATTCATATGACAGTTAAGTACCTTATTCTGCATCAAATGCTTACTCTGCATCATGCCAAAAATGTACTCCTCTAGGAACAAAGAGCTGCTGTTTAGCCATAGTATTACTAAGCCAACAATGTTGCAGTTGCAAAATGTTTTCATGCAGATTACACGTGTAAATATTTTAAAGAACCTCAGTTGTGTAAATTTGTCTCAAACCTCCCAGAAACACCATCACATGCAAATTAAGTATGCAGGTGTAGAGCCACAACAGTATTTCTAAATACCAGGAAAAAAAAACATTGAAAAATGGTGGGTGAGTTACAAGCAGCTACCTAAAATAATTTTTTATGGACAATAACCTTTGTGCATGGAGGACTGAAAGCTACAAGCAGAGAGGAGGAAAAAAGTCTCTTGATGTATGTAGCAGACAATGCAGATGACTCAAGGCCAGAGTTCCAAAGGAAAACCTTTGCTTTGTATTTGTTCAACATTCAAGAGCAAGGTAAAGTCCTCAGCTCCTCTGCACTGACACACAGAGCCCCAGAAAAGAGAGCAGGGATGGAAGCAGAGAGAATTCTGCTTGCTCAGATATATCCAAATCTCCTCTGTACAGGGTTAGAAATAGTCCAGACAAAACTGCACAGACACCCACCAGCATTAACTCAGCAATGTGTCCTGGAAGAATCATGTGCAGGGCAACACCGGCACAGCCACCACTAAGGCCACCTGGGTACCAAACTGCCAGCAGGAACACCCAGGCAGCCTGATGCAATGTGTTTGTAAAACTGTTTTGGAAGTAACTTTAAAAATAAAGTGACTCTGAAGTTGCAGTCACCTGCTTCCTCATTCAAAAGTAGCACCTGCCAGAAAGTTGTTCTAGAAAATAACTCAATGAAGGTCTCATGTCCTTCTCGTCCTTCATCTGTCATCTTTAGGAGACAAACTGGGTCCTTCTGCTTGAAGACTGTTCTGTACATTTCAGGTACTTCCCCGTACTCTTCTTTGTTATCAGATGCAGTGATCAAACATTTTATACTACCCTGGAGTTCTTCTTTCAAAGCCCCTATGAAACTGAGATTTGCACTATTGCTCAGACCCCTTAAACTGAGAGCTGCCTGGAAATTACAACAGGTGAAATCATCTTCTGTTGCTTAAAACTAGACAATGGCTCATTACCATGAATGCATCAAATGCAAAATGTATTAGTTGTGAACTAAATCACACACTCATTAGTTCAGCTCTGGAGAACTGCTGTAAATGTTCAGCTGCTCCACCACATGAATATGCACTTAATACAGTAAATCCTCGTGAATCCTACACAGGTGAATGCACTCACTTAGAAAACAATTGGACTCTATTCATAAAGAGGGTTCAATTACAGTGAATTTTGGTAATTTATGTGGATGTGCATGTCTTGGACCAGAACAACTAAGCACCCAAAACATGGAGTAAAAATAAACCTCATTTACACCTGTGAAACTTGCTCAATTCAACAGTTATCAGGATACTGTTCAAGCTGTGTATTTTAATCCTTTGGCAAAAGCTTGTGTTAAATGGAATCACTGTCCAACATCCTCTGCACCTCTACAAAGTCTCTGGACTATTCCTTGAAGTAAGTCAGCACATTAACAGCCATACCATCTCCTCACTGCCACTTTTATGGACCCATTTTTACACTATGGCTCTTGGACACCTGCACAGCCAGTGAAAACACACGAGCTGCCTGAGGTATAATTCAGAGCAGGAAACAAGCTCAAGTGAATCATTTAGATGTTTACCTGTCATTAGTACAGCTCACTCTTCATGTCTCCTTGCGACTCATATGTTAGGAGCAGGAAAGCTTTATTAACATCCTTTGAAAACTCCATAATGCAGACATCAATCTAGCAAATCTTTTGAAATCAGGAATAACTGTTCCCACTCTCCGAATTATCAGCTGCCTCCCACAACCCTCAGACAGCTTGGGAATTTGAGGGATGAGATCTCTGCCCAGTTTAACCAGTTTACTTTACTAAGCAGAGCAGAGCACAGGCCCCTGACACCACTCCTACACCCAGAGGATACGGAGGGCCAACTGCCAAGCACCTCTGCTCCTCAACCACTTTGGGTCTCCACTATTTGGAATCCACTCTTAATCTCAGAAAGTAACATCAACCAGTGGAGAGCAATGCAGTTCCTCTCCCCTTTGAATTATGAAGGCAAGGTCACTTGTCTATGGCATCCCTGACAACTGACTGCACTATTTTTGCTTGTTGACGTGAGGCACACTTTCATAAGGAACACTAGCAAACAATTCTGCTCTTCAGCCCATATTCTCTGGACTTCAGGTTACCCTTTTGGAAACATTTCCAAACCAACACAACTACTGTAATGACAGAAAATAGTTCCAGAACAGTCTCATCATGGAGCAGCTGTAAAAAGCACACCTGGAAGGACACTCCTACTGCAGCTGCAGACAGGTTTGAATGACCCACCAAAGCAATCAGCATTAGAAATGGTCAAAAGCATCAAAGGTAGTGACAGGTCTCTGGTCTGGGCCCAGCCAGACACATGATGTAGGGACAGCTATGCAGAGCATGTCCAGTTGCACTCAGCAGAATCAACAGACTCAGCAGAGTCAACAGTCTGAAAACTGAGGAGCAATTCAAATCCAGACTTTCTCGAAGTGGAACTTAGGTGTTGCAGGGAGGAGGAGAAACACAAGATGAGAAGTTGTGGACTGACTTATCCAACAGCACCATGTTCCATCAGCCTGGGGACTCGAATGTTGACACAGGCAAGTAGCAGCTAATGAACTGCAGAGAGCTGAACTGCTTTACATAAACATTAACATGAATCCACTGCTACTCCAAGGACAGTCTTAGTATGTTACCTACAGAGCAGGTGCTCCACATCATTACCATGACATGCAAAAGCTTTAAAGGACCAACATGCATTAAAATTTCAGGTTTATAGCATTCTGTGTGAATACTGGCTGAAAGCCTCATGCAGCTTCTTAAATAACCATTGTTCAAAAAGCATTTTAGTAAAGGAAAATTATTAGGGAGAAGGAAAAAGAAGATATAATAATTTTCAAATCAGTTTCATGCCTATATTTTTTAAGACAACTTAAACTAGCAAAGCTGCCATCAACAGCAAAGGAAAATAATTATTTGAAAATGCTCTCAGGGCAAGTTTGACTAAAGTCAATGGCGTTTTCGATAAAGTAATGCAACAAATACTGGTGAAATTATTTTTTTCCACATTCTCTCTTAAAGAGTGCTCCCTTGCACTTTTTTAGGTGTCTGCACAGAACTTAAATATTCAATATTAGACACTTCACAGAGTGGCAGAATTCACAGTGTATGAAACAATGCTGAGAACACCTCTACTAGTACAAACCAAAGCAGGCTCCAAGTCATTCATTCCCAAATCACCCCTTTACAAGAGTGTCATCTGCTTGATCTGCCAGAATGTATAACCCCTCTAAGTCCTGCACAGTAAAGCCAACCAATAAACTAATATCCATCTAAGCTGAGAATGGAAGAATTCTGCCACTATAATGGAAAGGTGGAAAACCTCGTTGCTGGGATTAACTTCAGACCCCTGCAGCAACCAAATCCGAGTCTTTCTGGTGGTTACTGGAGATCTGAATCTGCTGCTAATGTTCAAAAGTGCTAAACTGCCCCTTAAAAATAAAGTTCTGGGTTACCAAAGGAAACTTTCTGGTTGAATTACAAAGCAGGAAAAACACAAAGTGTGGTTTCAAAAAAGGGGACAAGCAGCAGGCACCACAGTGCCCAGCTCCAGGAGCCCAGCTAAGGTGCCTTGGTTGAGGGTCTCCTGATCTAATCAATCCAGGCTTCTCCAAAAGGCAACACCTACATCATTACACCTAAAAGTGGAGGTATGACCCCAACTCTTAAATTCAGAACCACCACCACATTTCATTCACAATATCTCAAGGCAGCTATTTTAAATTCGCAATAAAACTAAAAGGAACTCCAATTTAAACAGATTTTAGATATGATCAGGCAGCAGGAGACAATTGTGATGCTGATTTCCACCTCTTCCCCAGCATGAAGTTAAATATAGTGATTTCTCATCCATTGGTTAAGAGAGGTGCATGCGATTTTCGGAGAAAAGGGGGACTTGGATCACAGGTTTACAAGGAACAACACTAAGGACTTGAAGCTCTAGACTTTAAAAGTCATATTACAAGAAGATATTCAATTATTTGAACATCACCTCAATGACATGACTATTCCATTTAACTTCTCTCCCAACTGTGACATGATTTATCAGTTCATGTTAATCCCTTTCTAAAATAAACCAGAGGTTTATCTACAATACAGATTTTCTTCTTTTACAGTGGTCC